GAGAATCGAATGAATTCGGCTCTCAAGACCCAAAGGTAAACAGCACACTTTCCTTTTGCACCGGCACGGAGTGTTCTCATGCCTATTTAGGCTTAGTTGATACAATGATGGATGGATGGCTATAGAGACGACTAGATGGAGAATGAGAAAAACAAATAATGAGTGAAATTTGACAAATGTTCACATATTCTTTTTAGCACTATGTTCAAACAAAGACATTTATGGTAAAGCGACACCTCCGGGCAGCTATTCTGCAGGTAATATATTTGAATTCAGCAATCAAATCTGATAACAATGGTATCATAAATTGATTCATGAAATCAGTGATAATAGGTCTCCCATTAGTTTTTCTATAAGTGGTCCATCTCCACCCTTTTATAATGTCTCTGATTTAGACTACATTTATCCACCCCTGTGCATAATGCTGCACCTGCCTGCAATTTCAGCATACTTTGCACTGCTGGGAAATGCGCCTGTTAAGTCATGGCAACAAATAAGATTTAAGAAGTGGGACAACAAAACTGTTTATCTAAATAATTCCAAACTGACATGGGAAATCTGCAGATAAACACACAGAACCTAAAATATTGGATTAATGTGAACTACTATGAAAACATGCAAGTTGTTGTACCTTAAAATGACCCTTCAGTGGTGTAACTTAATGTAGTCACCTCAAATTAAACAATGTTTTACTGTTCAAAAGCTTGAAATCAATATTTATTTAAAGAAATCGTAACTTGACGTATAGAATGGTGGATTCAATCGATCAAAATCACAGTTACGCTGTTACAAAAACATTCTAATTCATATAAATGTTGTTCTTTAGATCTTGCTTTTCATAAAACTATCCTGGAAAAAAAGCATCAGAGTTTCCACAAAAATATTTGGCAGCACAACACACAACTGTTTTCAACACTGATAATAATAAGAAATTAAGAAAATTTTATGGAAAAATTCAGCTTTGCCTTTCTTTATAAAAATAGAAAAAGAGAAAAAGAGAAAACACTTATTTTAAATTGTGGTCCCACTTTATATTAAGTGGCCCTAATACCTGTGTTCTTACATAGTAACTAGATGTGTACATAGTATGTAACCACAGTGCAAGTACACATTGGTACATCGTATCTACAGCTGTAATGTTTGTGTAACTACACATATGTAACAACCCACTGAATGGTATGTGCAAATACAAATGTGTAACAGGACATTGGTAACAACACTTTTTGGTAATGAAAGTACAAATGTGTAACAGATCTAGCAGCACTTTTTGGTAAAGAAAGTGTTACACTTTATATTAAGTAAACAATTCCTATGGATTTACCACGTATTACTGATGTTACACAGCAGAGGCAAGTAAGTTAGGCTTTACATATAAATGGTGGTTGGTGTCCAGAATGTTACACTTTATATTAAGTAAACAATTCCTATGGATTTACCACGTATTACTGATGTTACACAGCAGAGGCAAGTAAGTTAGGCTTTACATATAAATGGTGGTTGGTGTCCAGAATGTTACACTTTATATTAAGTAAACAATTCCTATGGATTTACCACGTATTACTGATGTTACACAGCAGAGGCAAGTAAGTTAGGCTTTACATATAAATGGTGGTTGGTGTCCAGAATGTTACACTTTATATTAAGTGGACAGTTCCTGAGGAGATACCATGTATTACAGTGGTGCACCAACTTTAGATCCAACTCCTCCCACTTTACATATCCCTAAACCTACCCATTTCCACCCCCTGGATCCCATTTCCACCCCTAAACCTACCCATCTCCACCCCCTGGATCAAATTGTTCCAGTCACTCTTATACATATTGTTGTTACAAAATGTAGTTATATATGTCCTGTTACACATTTGTACTTACACAAACTATTCGGAGGGTTGTTACATGTGTGTAGCTACATAAATATCACAGCTCTAGATACTATGTACCAATGTGTACTTACTCTGTGGTTACATACTACATACACATCTAGTTACTATGTAAGTACACAGGTATTAGGGCCACTTAATATAAAGTGGGACCACAATTGTAATAATATTTCATATTGTTACTGATTTTTTTTTTATCAAATAAATGCAGTCTTGTTGTGCATAAGAGACTTCCTTCAAAAAATAACTAAAATATATTATTATAATATTTAGTAATTTAATATTTAAAAAAATATATTATTTATTTTATATTTTTTTATTATAGGAATAAAAATAAATACAATTAAAACATTTAATTGTGCCATGTTGCTAGATGAAACACATTCAGGTTACTTTTTTTTCATTGTAATGATGTAATATTTTCATACTGTAAACAATCCCCATCAAATAGATTTAGCTAATATTTGTATTGTAAGCTTGCATTGAGATACAATCTCTGATATAATGGAATAGGACAAGAACAGTGCATAACAAGACAATAAGGGATGCATCTTCATCTCATAAACAATCTATAACAACATCTTGTTAACAGTTTTGAGGGAGTAGAGCCAATAAGCTCTGAACGCTCTGCTCACGTGGGGATGGTACTGTATGCATGACTGCTCAAAAGGAGGTCAATCAATCGGTTTGACTCTGCACAATTCACTTTGCATCTGCTTGATCAGTGCAGACATAAAGAATATTCCATAACCACAGGGCACATGAGCCATACTACAAAAATAGAATGAATCTGTAAAAGCACTGGTAACTACTGTATAACTACTCAGAGTGGCTGCAAGAGACATCAATGTTTCTTGCAATGCAGCTTTAGATCAGATGCAAAAGATCAATTGGTGACATTGCATTTCACATAACCAGAGGGAACGACACATTGTGCGTTCATCAGAGTGAATGTGTGCTCAGCTAACTGTGAGTTGAGTCAGACTGCTACATCCTGGCATTGAATGACTCCTCTGTTCAGGCCCAATGATTTCCAACCAGTCTTACTGCTTTCAAATGTATGGATAGTTTGACAGTGTAAAAAAATTGAATATATGAAATCATAATATATTCATGAAAAAATGCATCAGTGAGAATATTGGAAACACTCTCATGCATCAAAATCTAGCTTGACTACAAATCAGAAATTACATTCCAGCCGAAAAAGTAATGTTTAGTGAATATCAAAACTAAAAAAAAAAAAGATGCAAACTGGATCGTGTTTGCTTTAGAGCAGGGCTGCCCAAACTCGATTTTCTTTCTTTGTTAAACAAGACGGCTCACATGAATTTCGTTCAGTCACTGTTTGTCAGCAGATCCTCATTCACAAACAAAATGCTTTGCTTGTTTAGTACAGTCATGCACTTCATAAGGAAGAGATGTCAGTGAATGAAAAATGAGTCATCGCCTGAAAGTAAATAACATGATTTGTTCATTTAAAACAGGGCTGCCCAAACTCGGTCCTGGAGGGCCAGTGTCCTGAAGAGTTTAGCTCCAACCCCAATTAAACACACCTGAACCAGCTAATCAAGGTCTTACTAGGCATACTAGAAACTTAAAGGCAGGTGTGTTGAGGCAAGTTGGAGCTAAACTCTGCACGACACCGGCCCTCCAGGACCGAGTTTGGGCAGCCCTGCTTTAGAGCATAAGACGAGCTGCATCACATTGAGGTGTTTAGCCAAAGCTGATCAAGTCATATATATTCAGCTCATGCCAACATGACACCACAATGCTGCATCCTCACCCTCCTCCCGTGTCCGCCCACGATGCATTACGTCTGGCTGTTACCCCAGCGAGGAGTAATGTCAGTACACAAGGACAGTTTTCTCTCATTCATGGGCCTGACAGCACTACCAGCTAATGCACATCCCATCCACTGCTACTGGACTCTACTTTTCTCAAATTGCACTGTATATGAATAGTGATGTACTTTGCACACTCTGTGACAGAGGAAAGACTGGGGCTAGTTGTCATGTGGGGATGTTATGGTAACTTAGTAACTCCACAAATGTGTTTTCTCTAGCAGTGGATATTAAAACCTTCTTGCATTAGAATAATTGTACAATCGCAGTATCATCATATTTGTGTGATTTCAAATAGTTTCTAAATAGTATATAGTTATATTAGTAACACTTTACAAAAAGATTCCATTAGTTAATAAATTAACTGACATGAACAAACAATGAACAATACATTTATTACAGTATGTATTAATCTTTGTTAATGCTAGTTAATGAAAATGCAGTCGTTCATTGTTAGTTCATGTTAATTCACAATGCATTAATTAATGTTAACAAGCACAACTTTTGATTTTAATAATGCATTAGTAAATGTTGAAATTAACATTAACTAAGATTAATAAATGCTGTAGAAGTATTGTTCATGCTTAGTTCATGTTAACTAAAGCAGTTAACTAATCTTAACTAATGAACCTTATTATTGTAATGTGTTACCATTATATTTGTGTGTGTATATATACACTGCCATCAAAACATTGTGTTTGTATGCTTTCTATGTTGAACAAGGCTTGTAAAAACAGCAAAAGTGTGATATATTTTTGCAGTTTTAAATAACTTTTCTTTTTAAATATGTTTTCAAATTTAATTTCTGTGAGGATCCAGTGTCACATGATCCTTCAGAAAATGATTCTAATATGCTGATTTGGTGTGCAAGAAATATTACTTATTGTTATCAATGTTAAAAACAGATGTGCTGCATAATATTTTTGTGGAAACTGATACATTTTTGTTCAGGATTCATTTGAAATAGATATATTTCATTACATTATAATTTTATAATTACAACATTATAATTTTAATTTAAATGTTTTATTTGTAAGTCTCTGTAAATGTTTATCACTTCATCGTTTCCCCCCAGGCGAATAAAGGTGGAAATGTTCAGTAGCTTCAGTAGACTTGTCTATATAGAACATGTCCATAAAATAAATCTACTCTGAGAAATATTAACTAAAGTTAAATGTATGACTACAAGCCTCAATCTCCCCTAATGCCTTCCTGGGATCAATCATGTGTATCTACCTGACTATTTATCCATGGATCCGTAATCCCACAGAGCCCTTACCTTCAGTCTGGCCTTTGTTGATGCTCCAGTAACTCTGCAGACACTGCATTTCTTTCTTCATTCCCCTCTTGCAGCGGCAGTCGAACAGAGCCATATCCTTCAACACTTCCTGGGCTTCCTGGCAATCCTTATTGGTCAACATGGTGTTCCTGTCCTTGCCTGCCAGACACTGCCTCATGATCCTGAAGCGATGGCTGCACTTTTGGTCCTGGTTACAATTCTCGGTGGCTCTTAAACAGTCCATTGAGTCTTGGCGTCCAGACTCAGAGAGAGAGGAAGAACCCGACATAGAGAACACAAGCTCATCTATGAAGGAGGGTGGAGAGGATGGAGGTTCAGATTATTCATTCATTCATTCATTCATTCATTCATATGGGCTGAGAAATGCCCTGCTAAAACTACTCTTTAATAGGATAACAGGATAAAAGTTTAACAAGTCTTTATCTATGACAAATTAATCTATAAAGACATCAGTGTCTGCATCCGCTCATTTTGTCGTTATAAAATATTATTTTAGACAATGACTAATCCAGACAAAGAGTGCAATTTAAAGTCCATCAAGCCAGTTGCAATGACCAGATGATTGTGAAACCATTTTAATGACTCACAAGGATCACTTGACAGCTCAGAATGGTGTCAAAGTATGAAAAACATGCCTCGAAGAGTAAAATATATACATGGCACAAAAGACTTCTAATTAGCATGACATGAGTCACCAATAAATAACAGTCTTTTTTTAGTATTTGTTAAAAATGGATTTAATTAGCTGCTGGTAAATGCTCTTTATACGTTCCTCATATTAATGCTTCATTATTGCTTTTTCACAATTATTAGCCTTTACACTTTTTTCTGTGTGTGTGTGTGTGTGTGTGTTTTTTTTTTTACATGCATGCAAATGTATTTTTTGGTCATAGGGTCATTATAACGGAGGTGTAACCCACCAGTGACACCTACAGGTGTAAACACATCAGCATACCTAATAAACTCATTTTTATTTATTTAATTTTTTTCTTAAAACTGTTCAGAACACATCAGTGATGAGAACCAGAATGAAAGATGCAGACACACCCTTGGATAATCACTGATGAATGCTTTGCTTTTCTTTTTTTAGAAAAAAATAAATATATAAAACGAGAAATGCTGCAAGATGCTCTACGAATGCAAATGTGTGAAAAGAAGAAAATCTGTAAAGTAGTTGGGTAACACTTTACATTACAGTTTATATTATATATTCATATTACTTACAGTATAAGGCAGTTCCACACCAGTACCTATATAATTACACTGCAACATTAATTTAAAGCGTAACTGGCTGTTGAATATCTATATCAAAATGTCTGAATGGTTCATATGTTCTGCAGACTGTTTAAATATTCAACTTAAGTTGCATCATGGTGCGCAAAAAGGATCAAATATTGTCAGTGTGCAATGGATAGTGATAAATCTACAAAGTGACCTTGATAAATCTCACCTTTGTTGCAACATTTTTTTTATACTGTAATACATTTTCTATACACCGACTCTAAATGAGTGGGATTTGAACTACATGGCACTAATTAGTTAGATAACAATTAGACGTCATGTAAAACTGTAAGATAATGTGATCAGTTACATTCATTCAAAAGGAATGAAACGCAGCCCATGTAACTTACATTACAAAATTACCATACATTTAAACATGCGAGTATTATGAAGTGACAAGTTCATGTCTTTAAATCCCACAGAAATGTAATGAATGAATATCGTATTTTTTTTTCTGTTCCTCACCTTAATTTCACATAACTTCATAAACTAGCATGGTATTAAACCATGTAGTAGAGGAAAGTACATTGAAATAAAATTAACCTAAAGATTAAATGAAATTAAATAGCATGAGGAGATTTTGCTTTCACTTCGACTAAAGAAAAAAGGCAAAATCGAGAGAGAGAGAGAGAGAGAGA